GCTGCTGCTGCCGCCGCTGCTGCGGCAGGATCGAGACCGAATGGAGGTGGAGGTGGCGGGGCTGGAGCTGGGGGATGCTGACTACCAAGTCTGTGGGAAGAGTCTTCAGGCCGATAGGGCTGAAATCCACTGCGAGTAATTTCTGGACCAGGGGCAGGTACTGATCCTCCACCACTACTGCGACTACTGGTTCCTGTATAAAGTGGACCATCGTCTGCTTGACGAGATGATCCACCGCGTGATGTCACAGGTTGTTCATGAGCAGAACCTCCACGGTCCTAACAAACACAAAAATGTAATTATTCCTAGAGGATATGTGGATAGACCAGGAAAGATTAAGGTTTAGATACCTATTATCAATGTACATTAGCAAAATGTACCAATAAATGAAAAATGTCACTACAAATAGAACTTAAAACACACATGTAACATACTTTACGAGTGTCTTGGCCCGCACCAGATGTGGGTGAAGCTCCACGGACTAGAGGAGGTGGCCCCCGTTTTGGGGACACCTGATGGGGTGCTGGAGGTTCCCCTTCACTTTCACGTTCTGCAGGAGGCACCGCCTGCTTCGCAAGGTTCCTAAGCGCCGCTGCAAATGACCTCCCTCCGCTACTAGAGGCAGATTGGGTGGGTGCAACACCCACTCCAACCCCAGGACCTGGACCTGGTACTGTATGCCCTCCTGGAAGTGACTGTGCTCCTGAGCGATGGTGCTTATTTTGAGAAGCAGACGATGGCAACAGGTGACCTCCGGGTGCAGGTTTCGTGCCAGGAGGTACACCTGCAACAAAATAACAGGCATTTAAAAATTACCAAATTTAAATAAATTCACAAGAAAAACTTAAAATATTCATCATATAGAGCATAGAGTGTAACTTATTACGTCACTACTGAACTGCAGACTGAACTCAAAATGTAATTACCATGTTTATGTTACATGCATACCATAAGAAAATAATAGACTACACTGTAATGCTGTGTTACTGGTGGAAGGAGAAGGGATAAGGGGTTGCATTTTAACCTACTTTCCCCCCGAATACCTTGAAACAAAGGAAAATCATGTCTGTAATTCCTCAAGAGGAAGTGGTTTACGAACAGCCCCAGGTACCAAACTATCATTTCAATCTGAATTTCCCGAAATGTCTGAAGTGAAAACTTTCGTGAATAGAGTTCCTTCATCAGCATATAACTACAAAAAATATGTTGTTCTGCAATGTTACAAAATCTGAAAGATGTACACTGTGGAGCAGAAATAGTTGTGTATGTTATGTCCATCAGTCAAGAGAAGAGCTCTGGCTTAGTTTGCAGGCCACATCCTACTGGTCAAACACACACGATGCTCCCCTTATTGCCACACAGTGCTTTACCTAAATAAGGCAACTGTAATTCATGACTGTGCCTACTGCTATGGACTCATTTTCCTGCGCGACCACACTTCCATTGATGACAGAGCTCTTCTTTCCAGTTTAACTGTTGTGTCTAAATCAGGGGTTTTCAACTTTTCCGGACCTGGGGCCACATTCACCCCGTTATCAAATCACGGGCCGCAATGTTACAAATGAATGATATTTATTGAAACGTCACTGCAAAAAAATTGTGCTACGTTCCTAAAATAGGTTTACTATCGCAAACAAATTCACATTCTGCGCAATTTTCCCAACAAAATCGATCAATACCGATAAACTTAAAGCTGCTTTTGCTACAGAAATCTTTCCGTATCAGGTTCAATTAATCTTGTTATGATGTGCACCCCTCGACGTGTTTCAACAGTATGACGCGTCTGAGTTCTTTGTTTTGACGTGACGGCCTAAGCTGGAAGTTGCTCACAGTGACTGGCATCGTCAAATAGTGACGAAGTTAAAACAAAATGTCTTTCCTGACATCATGTAAATATTATAAAAACAGTACGCAGGACAAACAAAACACATTGGCAGGCCGCGGGTCTACATGGGTAGCTTGTGTAGTGTGTAGACTTTACGCATTCCGGGTACTTACAAGCGTGAACAAAACGTGGACATTTACGTTCGCTATCATAAACAACCCCTGACAATGTTCAGATTATAATAATAAGTTCATGGCGCGGATGATGCAATCTCTTGGAAACCGGTGACATGCCAGGCGAAAGGTCATTGTAGGTCAGGAACGGACTTCCAACATGAGGTCAAGACTGGGTCACTCATGTGAACCAAGAGATGGAGAGGGAAACAGATCCCTTCAACCTCGGGGTCAGCCAGCAGCAATTTGCTTCCCCCCCCCCCCCCAGACGAGCGAGTCGTGTATAGTCACGGCCGTAACACAATAGCCCCTTATCGTCTTTTCAGTGGTGTGCGTATTCGAGTTTTAAACGGCGGTAAAAATGTGGATTGTAGTCATCTGTATTGTGAAGCCATGAGGCCTTGTATATGGCTATCAAAGTTCCTCCGTAACGCTTCCACCTATAGGCCTACAACACCACGAGTCCCAATACTTCAAACCCAACTTCAAATCCACCCCGACATACCGCATTCATGTTTAGGGAAGACGACGGAATTAAAACGAATCACCGTGGGTTGTCATCCGTCCTCCAATGTACATAATGTTGTAAAAAAACTCTATCAGTCGTTAATATCGTTAATGATGAGAGAAAAGACATGGAAATCGATACGAAAAATTAAAGCCACTCAAAACTACGGAACGACACCTGCTATATGAGAACAATGTTTAATCAGAGGCGCCGAAGCTGGTTCTCTCTGCCACTTTTAAAACGCAACACGAAGAAAGTATCTTGAGAGCAACACCGACACCAGCAATCAACTCTGCGCGCACGCACAAACAACCAAGAAATTATACGCCAATTTTCCATTCTGGAAAGTATATCGACAACATGCGTCTGCAGGCTTGCTCATAAAAATTACGCAACGAAGAATCAGGTTGTAAAAACGAGGTAAGGATGAAGTGGTATCAAATTCCGACTGCGTGTTCACGCACGTGCCACTTTGTTAAAAGAGTTACAAAGTCCACGCCCATTAGAGGACCCCGAGAAAAGTCTTGTGTGGCATGAAGTATGTGGGCGTTGCTTCCGAAAGCGATTAAGCATTGGGGAAAACCGTCCATAACATGCAATCTAACCGAACACGATCCGTGAAGTTTCTAAACGCTACCCCGACATCAAACACTCAGATCATCACAAACGCTAACCCACTGCCATAGTATTTGGTGTCACCAATGTAAAATGAACCGTAACATTTTCCCAAGCCTCTGTACTGGTTGGCCTAAGCTGAAGCAGTCCCGTCTTGATTTCATAGTATCTGAAAGCACCCGAACTGGCGGACGTCCGGTAACATTCACGCCATCGGCGCTGCAACTGCTCTGGTCTCACAAAAGTTACTGAATTTGTCCTTTCGCACGTACCAGGATGGCTCATTTAATAAAGGGACCGACTATGGGCTGGGAGTCCGGGGTTCGAATCTCAGCAGGGGCTACGTCTAAACCGACCGATCCAACCGCCTGTCCAAAGTACTCAAGTAAAGTGGAACCAAAGACCTCAAAGGCAGCAGACGTTAAGAACGACCCCTCTTCGGCATCATTCCTGACGTTCATGCACGTGGCCGAGTGTTTTCCCTTAGACCATACGCCTACGGAGTATACGAAAATGCAATACATAAGCGCGCATTCACAGCAGTTAATTGTCGCCATAAAACAATGCAATGATGAGGAACAGGAAACGAATCACACGTCACAATAATGGGATGGGGTGCCGGGTAAATCCGAGTGTCCTTTAATAATTTATCAATATCCGGGTATTTTTATACTTCGCCTGAAATTGACAGACAAAGGAATTACACAGAATTCCCGAGTTTCATACTTTGAGACACATACATTCACATATTTACACTCTGAGTAAAGCTTTTTAATTCTGTTTTCAATTAGCTTTCTAAATGTGTAACTCTTAATTCTCCAACTGTAATCAGTGTATGCTTACTTTCGCAAATTACTTAACCTAACCTAACCCTCGCTAATCCGTTTCTTTCACTCCTGTTGCTTACCTTTCTACAAACATAACGAATCCACAAGCACGCATGCCACGTGGGAGGAATATGGGTACAGACATGTTAGCAGACCTTGATGGACATGTGACATGACACAAATTTATAACATTGCTCTCCTTGGTTGGCTGGCTGACGACACGTTTGTATAAATCTGTTACATTCCCTGAGTTATTCAATTAACATGTTCTCGTATTGTTACTGCATCAGTATCGGTTATTGAAACAAGGTACAATCGAGGTTTCTTACTGTTCTTATTAACGATGCATCAAAATGTCTCACTTTCCGCCTAGGGTAGAGAAGAGATAACGATGTTAAATACATTTCAACAGATGTGATCAACGCACGGTTCTCGGAACTCTAAAGCCAGACATTACCAACCATCTGCAGCGCAGCAGCCATTTCTACACATCATGCCATGCTCCCATCTATGCGTATGTCTCCCAAGTAATCTCCTCTTTGCTGCTTTCTTACAAAAATGCTGTACACATTTCTCATTCCTCATATGCGTACATGGGAATAAGAGACAGGTTATAAACACAATAATAAAATATCGCAATATCTGGAAAGAACGCCTGAAAACCGAATCACGGCTGTTCGATCAACACAAACTACTTTCTTGAACATAAAAGTGTGCTCGGCATTTCTTTTGCTAGCTTAACGGGTTTAAGTCAATACAGATCACGTTAGAGTTATGCCCTTCTTACCAAGCACTGAAAAATAACTAATGTTTTAACAATAACCTATACTGGTGTGCGCTGGTAACTGAGGATTCAGCATTTATTGCATAACCGAGTTATGACTTGTCTTGACATCTCAGACGCCAGTCACTAGCGCATGTAGGGCAGTCAAAAAGTTCCCGGAATGAGAGGTAAGATAGCGAACGCAAGTGTTGTGGTGGGCAACAGGTCTGGACAGGTTTCGGCGTGCCGTGTCGTTACAGGTAGACGTGGGTGTAGGTCATTCGGCGCAATGTCGCAGTTCGAACAGCGTGCGAACATCAAGTTCATGTGCAAATCAGCTACAGAGACGCTATCGGCCCTGCAGCAAGTTTACGGTGATACTGCACTAAAGAAATCCACAGTTTACGACTGGTTTTCCCGGTTTAAGAATGGACAGAGACGTTGGTGGATGACCAGCGCAGCGGGAGGCCTTCGACATCCAGAACCGCGGAAACGATTGAACAAGTGCGACAACTGATTCTATCTGATCGCAGGATGACCATCGTGGAGTTGGAGCATGAAGTTGGTATCTCTCACGGATCCATTCATGCGATTCTGTCCGACGATTTGAAGATGAGACGTGTTAGTGCGAAGTTCGTTCTGAGGCAGCTGACTACGGATCAGATGGAATGTCGCACGATGGTCGCTGGAGATTTACGACCCGGAGACGAAGATGCAGTCATCCGAGTGGCACACAGCGTCGTCTCCCCGACCAAAGAAATCCCGCCTCGTCCGATCAAAGGAAAAAGTGATGCTCATCGCATTCTTTGACATCGACGGTGTGGTGCACCACGAGTTCGTACCGCCTGGACAGACTGTTACGAGTCATTTCTACGTGCAAGTGTTGCAGAAGTTGCGCGAAGCAGTTCGGAATCGGCGCCACAAGTGGTAGGGTGGGTGGTTTCTGCATCACGATAACGAACCGAGCCACACATCGCTGGTTGTGCAGCAATTCCTCGCCGAGAAAAGCATTCCCGTCATCACCCAACCAGCATACTCTGCGGATCTCGCTCCGAGTGACTTCTGGCTGTTCC